TTATTTCTCACATACAATCAAATGGATTTCCCCACACATTTCGCGTCAGTCCTCCGCGTGGCATATTATTCTTTTCTGCGCGGCCGCGGCAACAGAAGTGCACGACCGCGCACGCGCGCAGCTTAGAGGGAACGTGATTCTTATGTTTATATATTTTGTATGTCGAATACATTTTTAATTATTATTGTTCTGCGTAGTTTGAAGATAAACATTTTTAAATATTTATCCCGGCGGATATATATTTTTTTTAATCAGGAAGGGGGTGGGGGGTCAAATGGGGGGTCAAAGCATTTTTTGGGAGGGTCTTGAGACCCCCCAAGACCCCCCCTGGCGCCGCCTCTGTCCGTACATTAGGTAGCATGATGGGAGTTCCGTGTCTTTTAGGGATGGGGAAATGAAGCCTCGTGAATCAATGAGGCTTTCCCCTGACTGTTCCGGGAAAAGATTCAAAGCTTCGAGAGTGTCGAGAACAGCGCCATCTGGTGCTTATTTAAAATAAAGCAGCCAGAAGCCTGTGTTAGAAGCTCTGGCAGATGAAGCAACCACAACACACTCCATAGTTTCAATGTTATGTGTACAAATAAAAGCTTTACATGTTTGTGTTTGATTTGCTCATTAAACAAATTCATTTTCCCATTAAAGTGTGACAATAAAATATAATATAAGCTTATAAGATTCACTAAGATTTAATGTAGGCCTATTTCTCTCTCTCTCTCTCTCTCTCTACACACACACACGCGCACACACACACACACACACACACACACACACTGAATAAGAACATTGTCTGATAGGATCATCTGTTATTAAATGTGCTTATGACACTTGGCAGTGATAGTGCTTATGTTACTGTAGGAATGACAGAAATGTGATAAAGTTTTTAATTATTTTTATTAAGAAATAAAAGCTGTTTCACAGTGTTGGGGCTGAGTCTATTTCTCCTCTTAGACAGTACTTCCCCAGCCTTAGAGAAGACTCTTTCACATGGCTCATAGGAGGCCGGGGTACAAAGAAACTGTAATGCCAATGTATATTGGTGGGGGTAGACATGTTTCTGCATTCTCCAGTATTCAAGTGGATCTTCAGCTCTTTGTATGTTTGTCTCTGTAAGGTATTTATCCACTTCTACGATCGCATCAGAAGTGGCATTTGAGCTTTGCTCCACAGCACTGTCCAACAGAAGCCAAAGGTTTCCACCTTACAAGTGTGAGGAAAATTATTATTATTATGTTTATTGGGAGTGACTGTACATGTACATTGATTGAATATAAGACACATCAACGGTCAACAATTATAAAATACAATAAATAAATAAAAATAAAAATAAATAAATACTTGAGCTTGGTGTGGGCTGTTGAGTTGATGATGGTGCTTCTGTTGACTGAGTGCTTGATGATGTGGATGGTCTTTCATCTTCGGCCCTGATGACATTACCACATTCTGCTTTTAGCCGTTTGACAGCCTCTGTCATTTTAGTTTGGTTAAGGAAACCCAACTTTTTAAACCTTGGGTCCAGCAGAGTTGCCATGGTCATTATACTGAGCGACTCCATATTCCAGATATGCTCCCTCAGACGCCTGATAAGCTTTTCAGTTAATTCCTTTGTTATTGGCATGGTTAACCTATGAAATAGAAAATTATTTACTCTGTGCAAAAATACAAATTCAATAATTCAATAATTTAATAATTAAGAGTATTCTACACAAATAAAAATAAATACCTTAGTTGTTCAACCTGTAATGAATGGTGAATCATTTTTAGCAAAGGAATTACTTTGGAGCCAGACACACGTTTTTCCTCGGACAGCTCTACTGTGGCCTGGTGGAATGGGGCGAGAACACACAGAACTTGCTGTATGGCTTCATAGTCCAGGGCATGAAGTGGAGCTATATCAGTTTTAAGTGAGGCAAGGGATGCTCCCACAGTTTGCCTTTCCCCATGCAGCCGTTGAAGCATGTGAAAAGTGCTGTTCCAGCGTGTTTCCACTTCATTCACAAGTTTAAGAACTGGCCTGTTCATCTCTTGCTGCACATGGGTCAACATTTCTTTGGCAGAGGTGCTGCTTCGAAAATAGGTGACCACCTTTTTAGCTTTGTTCCGAATGTCACACAGAGCTGGTACCTGATCAAAAGACTTTTTAACCATGGTGTTAAGTGCATGTGCAATGCAAACTGAATGTCTCACTTGCAGAATTCTTGCACAAGCAATCATGTTTGCTGCTGCATCTGTGACAAGACACTTCACTTTGTCCTTGATTGCCCACTCCATCATGACATTCGTTTTCACCAGGGCCATATTTTCCGCTGTGTGCCTGTTTGGGAACTTCTCAACATCCAACAACACTGTATTCAGCTTATAACTGTCATCAATGTAGTGGCAGGTTATTGCAAGATATGCATCCATGTTGATAGAAGTCCACATATCCGATGTTATAGACACAGCAGTTGCTTTTTCCATGTCTGCCTTGGCCTTCCTCTTTGCTTCTTCATATTTTGAAGCCACCATTTTCTTTAAAGCCTTTTTGAGTTCACAAAACAGTTGTAGTAAAATTATATTATTAGTGATAAAGATTTATTATATAGATTATACATAAAAATCAACCTCTGCTGCTATCCTCACCTGTCTGGTTGGGATTATATAGGAAGGATCAAGGGCATGGATGAGGCCCTTGAAACCCTCATCCTCAACCACTGTAAATGGCTGTGAGTCTTTTATGACCATGTTGACCAATGCCTCATCAACCATTTGCTTGCGAGATACTATAATGAAAGAAGAAATATATACATAATATATTAATTGAAACCATGATAATGCATTCACAATTATGAATAAAAATCATGAAGCAACAGTCCTACTTTGTGTGCTTGGATTGTGGGTCTGAGCAGTCTCATGATGTGTTGTTTCCATAAACAAGCTCTTTGTCACACACCAAGCATCTCACCTTCTAAAAGAGTTATATGAAAGTAAGAAATTATGTACAACAATAACATTTTTTAAATAATATATATATATATATATGCATACACACATTGGAAGCTATAAGCTCAAAATATTCCCAGATAGGGGAAGTCTTCCTTTTTTTGGCTGTTGCCATTGCTCTAAATACAAACCCTTCACCAAACACCAACACCCTATCCCCTCTCCCCTAAGCCCACCCTAATCCCAAATACCAACACCAAATTACCTAAAATCACCAAAAGTGCAAAGATATTACAAAAACAAAAAGACAAAAGTATAGCCTAAGTAGTGAAAAATAAATTTTGGTTATTTAATGTATTATATTTATTAACTTTCAAAGTACAGCACTCTCCTGAAACACCCATCAACCAGACTGAGCCGACAATGACTCATTAAATGAGATCTGGAGTTCGAGCCTTCTGACACCCAAAGCGAAACACGCACGTGATTGGACAGAAAGTGAGGCTTCGTTTGTCATCGATCACGTGACTCTGGGGAAACCAATACACACCCCGATACGGGGCTTCACTAGAAATTGTGTCGCATCTGTGATACGCGCATCAAAGCTTCAGTGTCATACGTAACATCACTAGTGTCTTTATTACACTCAATTAGCTGTCATCCACCCTCGATTGAATAGAATGTTTTTATTACTCGGCCCGCTCGACCCGCGGATTGTGATCCGTGCAGCACTAATTCAATTCAATTCAAATTTATTTGTATAGCGCTTTTCACAATATATATTGTTTCAAAGCAGCTTTACAGAAAGTGCATTTCAGAAATGTACATAGAAAAATACAGTTAATCATCATGTATTAATTTAGGGCATAACATATCGCCGGCGTTGAGTCGTCTCTTCACAGGCGTCGAGTCGTCTCATCGCAGGCGTTGGGGCATCTGAAGTCTCCGTGAGAGGCTGGATACAAACTGGAGCTGACGAACGCTATTTACCTCGGGACTAGCGTCCTGAGATAACAGCAGAAAAGCAGATGGGAAATAATTAGCGTAGCTGCTGTTCATAATATTAATGCATTCGATCTGATTCAACAGTGGTATAAAAGGTAAGCATTATATGAATGCTTGGCTGAAGAGATGCGTCTTTTGAACTGGGAGAGCGAGTCTGAGCCACGAACAGTATCAGGAAGGCTATTCCAGAGTTTAGGAACTAAATATGAGAACGCCCTCCCTCCTTTAGTGGACTTAGATATCCTAGGAATGACCAGAAGCCTCGAATTTAGGGATCTTAAAGAATGCGATGGATTGTAGGGCGATAGAAGGTCCATTAAATACACAGGAGCTAAACCATTTAGGGCTTTATAGGTCAGTAATAGTACTTTGTAATTGATACGGAACTTGATAGGTAACCAGTGTAGAGATGATAAAATTGGTGTTATATGATCATATTTTCTTGACCTAGTAAGAACTCTAGCGGCTGCATTTTGCACTAACTGTAGCTTGTTTATTGAAGATGCAGGACAACCAGCTAATAAAGCATTACAGTAATCTAGTCTCGAGGTCATGAATGCATGAACTAACTTTTCTGCATCAGAAACAGATAGCATGTTACGTAATTTAGCAATGTTTCTAAGGTGGAAAAATGTAGTTCTTGTAACATATGAAATATGATTTTCGAAAGACAAGTTGTGGTCTAGTATAACACCCAGGTCTTTTACTGTAGTGGATAAAGTAACAGGACATCCTTCTAAATTGAAGTTGTATTGTAAGAGATTTTGTGGGTAGTTTTTTGGACCAATAAGTAATACCTCAGTTTTATCTGGATTTAATAGCAGGAAATTACACGTCATCCAGCATTTTATATCTTTAAGACACTCTGTCAATTTAGATAAGTTAGTGTTTTCATCTGTCGTGATGAAATATGTAATTGAGTGTCATCAGCATAGCAGTGGAAATTAATTCCATGTTTTCTTATAATATTGCCAAGTGGCAGCATATATATTGAGAATAGCAGAGGGCCTAACACCGATCCTTGCGGCACTCCATAGTCTACTGACGTTATCTTTGATTTTTCCCCATTTAAACAGACAAAATGGTAACGGTCTGATAAGTACGATCTGAACCAGCTTAATGCCTGTCCCTGAACACCAGTGTAGTTTTTGTAGTTGTTCTTGAGGGGCCATAATTAGGGCTGCTTTTAGAGCCTTTTTATAACGTGACACACTGTCTTTCCACGCGATTCTAAAGACCTCTAAATTCGCTTGTTTCCATTTACGCTCTAAGTAACGGACCGGCGGGCCGTGTTTGGCCCGCCGGCCTTGTAATTGACACATGTGTGTTAAACAGAATACGGAGGTTTGTTGCGAATTACCATGAACTTATCTGCTACCCTAGCAAGTTAATTTTATGTTTTTATGTTACTGAGAGGAAAATGTCTTCGTCAAAACCACAAAAATACCAGAAGCGGGATAAAAACTGCTCAAAATGTGGATTTCATTAGAGGAATAGCTCTACTATAAAGGGACAATGTCCAATTTAACGCACCCTCTGAGGCGGCCGTGAAACAGCGCTGCGAAATGGCCAGAAAATGCATTGGGCGGCTTATTGAGCACTATGTAAAATGCAAAATTCATTTAAAAAAATTATACAGTAAAAACTGCTCAAAATTTGGATTTCATTAGAGGAACAGCTGTCATATTATGGGACAATGTCCAATTTAACGCACCCTCTGAGGCGGCCGAGAAACAGCGCCGCGAAATGGCCAGAAAATGCAATAGGCGGCTCATTGTGCATTGTGTAAAGTGCAAAGTTCAAAGCTTCATAAAAACAAGATTCCACAGTAATAATTGCTCAAATTTTGGGTTTCGTTCGAGGAGTAGCTCTACTATAATGTACTCATGTCCACTTTAACGCACCCTCTGAGGCGGCCGAGAAACAGCGCCGCGTAATGGGCAGAAAATGCAATTGAAATCAAAACTGCAACTTCTCCTATCACTGCATAGTTGACATCTGTCAACTTCATGGGTGCATAGCTTCAAAATGCAACAGTAAAAAAAAGTCTAATCTTGTGCAGGGTGACAGGCAAGCACAATGGGTATAAAGGCCCCAGTGCACCTTTAACGCTCCCTCAAACACAGCTGAGATATAGAGCCCCCAGTTGAGCCAACAATGCAAGGCTCTTCTAACTGTACTATGTCAACTTCATGGGTCCATGATTTCAAAGTTATACAGTAAAAATATTTGAAATTGTGCATGATTATATTCAAGCACAGATGCAGGGTATAAATCATCATGAAACCAAATGGGCCAACAATGTGATAGCTCTTCTGTATTGTCAGATTGGGTCCATAAACCATGCAATGGCACTTTCAAGTCAATTCAATTTAATTTTAAACATTCATTTGTATAACCCTTTACACAATACATATAATTTCAAGGCAGCTTTACAGAAAATGCAGGTTTCTATGTTACAAAACCACAGGATTTAATGAGATGATATCAGAAAGTATGAATGTAAGGTTAATTCAACAAGGCATGCTGTGTCTTTGAAGCAACAATTAAAGGCTAAATAATTATTTCGTGATTTGAATGGCTGACACGCAGCGACATATACAGTATTATCAGCTGTATGATGTGTTTTTACCCTGAAATGTTTAATTTCGAGAGAGACCTGGCGCGCGCAGGGAGGGAGACTAAACAAACTTGTTAAAAAGAGATCCAGCGCGAGAGAGGCAAAGAAAAACGCATGTTTTTAATTTAATATGTTTCTTTGGACAATTTTCGTTTTGTACTGTTTTAATTGTTTAATTTAGCTGTAATTTCTTTGGCAATACAAATTTAAAATGTCGCAAGAATAAGATTAGCCTATTGTTTCTTATTTAGCATCGCAAAAGAAATAAACTCTAAACCCGATGCAACCCTGTTTTAGATAAAAAAAAACTGTCCCGACACTATTTAAACCTTGAAATGTTCGATCTTGGTTTCAAACTTAAGTAATTTTAGTGTTCTTTGACATTACACAATAATTTAGCAGACTAAAGACGAGCTTCTTCATTTTCATTTTCTGATGCAATCGGCTGACAATCTTCCTTCATCAGTTTTTGTCGTTTGTGCAGCGGCTGCGGTTCTACTGGAATGTAGCAAATTTATGTTGTAATGATAATCAAACAAAACTCTTGACTTTAAATAAGTAAACAGTTATAAACAGTTACCTATTTAAACATCAAGGTGGTAAAATATACAAATATTATTGGACAATAATAGGCCTAATATGACATTGATTTTGCCGGGGGAAAAAATATTATTGGACAATAATAGGCCTATATGATATTGATTTTTGCCAGAAAAAAATATTATTGGACAATAATAGGCCTATATGATATTGATTTTGCCTGAAAAAAAAAAATATTATTGGACAATAATAGGCCTATATGATATTGAGGGGGGGGGGGGGGGGGGGGGGGGGGGGGGGGGGATACATTTGGAATCGTTTGACTTTTTATCTAGTGTCAGAACGACATCAACTGTTATTTTAGTGATTTAAAAGATACGCGCGCACCGCTGGAAATGTGTTGGTGATTGCTAGGAAACGGTCAACAGAAACGTTTCACAGGCGGACATCACAAGGTAAGACGATGGGAAATAATGCTAGTAGCGCTAAAATATTATTATTTTTACCAACCACAATTGTAAATATTAGAAATGGACACGTTTTGTGTATCTTTTTCAATTTCTACAGCTTACTGCACGGAAAAAGTTTAACCCTCTGGGCTTCTTCGGTCAAAAATGACCGAAAACTGTTACGTTTTGAAATGTTTCATTTTTTTTGCTTCATCGGAGGGGGATGAAACTTGGTGACTTTGGTTGTAGATTACCTATGTGAACACACAAAATAATCAAGGAGATGATTCGGATATGTTAAAGGGTCGTAAAAAAATAGTCACACTTAACGTTAGCTTCCTCCCGGTCAAATATGACCGACCATAGGAAACTATTGGGAAATACGAAAAAATAGGAAAACTCAGAGAAACTTTTGGTGGTACAAACTACAGATCAGCCACTGTGCAGAAAAAAAGTGTACAGCTTTATCAAATACTGAGTAACAAAAATCTTTGCATTGTGTTCCCTTTCTAACCAAATGTTATTGTTTGATTGTAATCATAATGCAAAACCTAATACTATTCTAAAAAAGTATTTTAGAATATCTAAATATATATCTAAATAAAAATAAAAAAACGAATAAGAGAGAGAAATCATGTCTAAAACAACAATAGGAATCAAAAAGCCTTTCTATGTATTTATATAGGCAGCTACAGGCGTTACAGGACATTTCACACTTTTATATATTTTTAAAGCCACTGGATGGCGCTCTTCTCACTTTTTTTGCCTGCAGCCTGCACTCTATTTTGATGTGAAATGCTGCATTTATTGAATTTTTTTTTTTTTATATAATAGAAAAATATTATATTAATTCTAATGGAAAAAATAGCTCATAAAAATTATATAATTAATGCAAAGTATCATAAAAATCTTTAAAAATTCAAAATAATAATAAAAAAAAATATTATTGAACAAGATTATATTTAATTGGTTTTCCTGAAGGGGGGGGGGGGGGGGGGGGGTATTACATTTTAAGACTTCTGCCTTTTTTGACCGGGAGGAAGCTAAGTGTAACCCCTAAACGAAGAAGCCCAGAGTCTGTCTGTCTGTCTATCTATCTATCTATCTATCTATCTATCTATCTATCTATCTATCTATCTATCTATCTATCTATCTATCTATCTATCTATCTATCTATCTATCTATCTATCTATCTATCTATCTATCTATCTATCTATCTATCTATCTATCTATCTATCTATCTATCTGTCTGTATTGACAAGCCAGTTCTGATTTTGTGTAATAAAATACATCTTCTCTTTTGAGGACTTTTGAATCTGTGATCCACAGTCAGCAAACATGTCTAAGAAAGCCGAGAAGAAAGGAGAAGTGGATAAACTGTGGCGAGAGCTGAAGGATTTACACAAACAGAAAGAGTACATCGAAACCTTGTCTAAAGCATGTGAGTCTCTGGATCTCAAGAATAAACAGAGTGAAAATGAGATTGACGCACATAAAAAGGAGATTCAGAAGTTGCAGGTCAGACAAAAATTCTACTTTGGACAAGCACTTTCCTTCCAATTGTGATATTTCATCATTTTGATGATTTACTGTAATTGAAATTTAAACTGTACAAAACTTTTGCAGGAGGCCATCACAGCTCAGCGCTGTCAGCTGAGCTCTAGTCAAAGCGAAGGAACAAATCAGCAGCTTCGTTCAGACCGTGACAAGCTCGCCCAGGAAGTTCAACATCGCAGAGTCCAGCTCGCTGCGGACCGAACCACTCGGAGGAAGCAGCTCACTAAACTTACCATTCAAAGCAACAATGCTGCTAAAAAACTACAGGAGACAAACGCTTTGGTACATTTATTACACCCACATTTAATATATACACTCATTTAATTTTTTTTTTTTTTAACAATTTTCCAAACAAGTGCTTTATGCCTTCAAGTAATAGTTACATTTTGTTGATCCTGCAACAACATTTCTGTCCAAAAACATTGCCCTAACAACTATTCGTACCTCTAAATCTAAACCTATCCCTAACTTCTTAAATCAGAGGGAAATGACAAGTGAATAAGAATGGTGTTAAGAAACCCCTAACCATTGTTATAAGCCTAAACTGGACATTAACTGTAAGCCTAGCCCTTGAATCTGATTGGTTGATTGGAATGTTGTTCCAGGATCAACAAGGATGTTGGAACTTGGTGAGATGCAATTTGGGATTGCTTTATACAGTATTTTCACCCTCTGGCCAATAACTGTAATGACCAACATTTAAAATCTTATTATATTTAATGTTTTACATGCTTAAAATGAGAATCATGGACATATCAAAAACATCATAATTTCATGCTACATGCAAAACCATATCAGAACACAGAATGCCCTTTAATGATACATTTACTGTAAGCATTTTATGCATAATAAAACATACAACTTTATTTAGTTTAGATACATCCTTATTAGTTGATATCTCAGTCAAGCTGAAACAGGAGAAACTGTGTCTTGTATCATTAGTAGACCAGGATTTTTTATTTTATTTTTCTTGCAACAGCGATGCGTTTTATATATTTTTTGGAAGTAGAGATTATGTCATTCTGGAACTAAGTGAATTCATTTTAGCAATACTCTCAGCAACATCCAGTCAGTCACCCACTCTGTCTCTTCCATAGGGGGAAAGGTTGATGCGTCGCTCTGAGCTGTGCAGAAAGATGGAGACGGAGCACGAGAAGGTTCTGCCCTTCTACAAATCATCATTGAGTGAAGAAGAGCTGAGTCAGGAGAAAGCCAATGCCATGAAGTCGACGAATGAGAAACTCCCTCAGGTTTATTCAAATCACACTCCATCACAATCCCACAAACCACTGTAAACTTGCTTTTAAATCTGCCATCATTTTCACATGGAGTGGCCGCTTTTTACAATCCAGTTAATTCCAGATCTTTATTTTCTCAATGGATATCCTGTTTCACTCGGATATATGTCGCTTTGGGGGAAGTCATTTCAGATTTTTCATGCAGATTCATTACTTTAATTTGATGTGTACTAGCAGTTCTTTTGCATTATTCTAGTCATCTGTTAAATTCAGTATATCATTTGTGTTGTCTTTTGACTTTTCTCCCCTTGTCCTATCCTCTGTCCACAGCTAATACATGACTATTCTCCTCTTGGGAAGTTTTGGCAACGTTACAACAAGGTTCAGCTTGACAGTTTGTGTCTGAAGCGAGAGAAAGGGCTTCTGTTACAGGAGAATGAACAACTGAAGATCAATCTGCAGCAGTACATGGATGAACTTTCGGTCTCTGGGGAGAGTTTTCAGCATCAAAAGCTTCCGGTGGCGTCTTCTTCTTCTACTCTACAGACCCCCGCTGCCACTGAGAGACGCGCTCAAAAGCGCCATGTGCTCAAAAAAAAGCGCTAAGCAGCGAATATTGTGCAGAAACAGCTTGTGAAAACGTGTGTTTTTTGGAAGCAATTAAAATGTTTTATGCCTCTGCCATGCAGTCGGTGAATCTGTTTAATGCAATGATCTCAGTAATTTTTTTTATTAAATTTAGGATTTTAAGACACTTCCTCAAATCCCACAGCCTTTTCTTACGACTTTATATTAACTGGTGCAATTATGTAAATGTGTTGACCGATGCTGTTTCATCACCTCAAGATGCCGCCAAATCATTGAAGATTGTCCTTTATACATCTGGAAAACAGGTCGATGCATTTTAGAATGAAAGGTGAAGTTGAAAATAGACTACATTTTGAATTATTTGAAGACATTTTGCATCTTGTCATTTAATAACAAATAAGCTCAGCTATAACTATAAGCTCTATCACTCATGATGCGTGATGTCTTTAATAAAGACATGCTGTATTAATCTAGTACAAAACAGGGCAACAAATAACATGAAGCTATGTTTTATGGAACGTGTTAACTAATGCATAATATTATTATGGAATCTTCTGGCCAAAGAAACGCATCAAAATACTGAAATGTTTTATTTTGCACTGTAATAATAAAAATCAAGGCAACATGAATAGTTTTTTTTTAATCTCAAAATGTCGTCAGTAATTTGTTATTTAGCCAACTTGCAAAACTGTTGTAGGCTGTTTTTTTAGTGAGAAACAAATCCTCAACCTCAACATTACCTGTATCATTTATGCATGTCGCAATGCATGCTGGGAACACACACACACTCAAACACAGACCTCTTTACACAACAGCAATGTTGTTCAATATAAAATGCTCAGCACAGTCTATCCTTTCCAAACGGTTGAAGACAATGCTGTAAGATCTGCGGACTCTTGAAAATCTCCCAACCTTTTAAAGCTGTTTGACCTTTAACCCTTCCTCTCCGCTGCTTGCTGATAATGCTGGACTGGTCACCTGGAGGAGAACACTCTTTCAAGAGCAGAGAAAGTCAGAATTACCCTACGTTTTGAGAGGCAGTATGTAGTGCTTAGTACTTGATTTAATTTTGGCCAGCAGAAAGACCTTTCACCTGCAAGACATGAAGTATCACATTATCTCGACATTATCTCGATCATTTTAAAAAGCGACTTGAATTGGACTCAAGGTAAACATTTGTGTCAGTCCATGCATTCCTTGAGAATGATGCATGTACGATTCACTTCTGAGACACACACTAATGTACCTAGCTAACAAAAATATGTTTTGCTAACATTCCTATTAAGTTATGAAAACGTTATTTCTGAAAATTGTCTTGGTTATAATAAAGTTAAGGGAACATTCTGAAACAAGTATTAACATAAAACACGTTAGTCAAACGTGTAAATGTTTCAGAAAAAAAACCTTCCATGAACAATTACTGGTATAACTTTTTTTGTGCTAACATTGTGAGAACGTTATTAAAGCCCACATAACTCTGAACGAACGCTCTATTTGCGTGACTGGAAGAACGTTTGTCCATAACTTGGAGAGAACCTCGCCAGAACGTTAGCCAAGTTAGCTGGGTCATAAGGGCAGTGTTATTTGCATCACACATACTGAGGCAATCACACAATGAAAGCAACAGTAGTTCATTTTTAATCAACAAATAAAGACAAAACTCACTGATTTGGATATTCACTCCTAATCAGTGGTGTGCACAGACCTCCTCAGGGGCGGAGGGACCAAAAAGGGCACTACATTTTTATTTAATTTAATTTAACAGTACCTGCATTTTATTCTCTCTTTTCAGCCAACTTGTGAGAGGGATGCTTCCTTTGCCTGCATCAGAGAGTTCCTTGATTTTTTATTTTATTTTATTATTTCTTTCTTTGGCATTCTAAGAAAATATGTTGATACAATTATTAGAATGCATAACACATCAAATGAGAATAGGGAAATGATGATGATAATATTACTTAATATTATTTACTTTACCAAACAAAACAGTGAGAATAAAGAAGGTAATTTATTTTTAGTTTTGTTGATGTTGTAAATTTAATGCATGTATTATATGTATGAAAGACAGTGTTAGCTATCATGAATCAGTAACACTTTACAATAAGGTTTCATTAGTTAAATTAGTTAACATTAGCTAATAAAGAACTGCACTTCTACAGCATTTATTAATCTTAGTTAATATTAATTTCAGCATTTACTAAAACATTAAAATCAAAAGTTGTATTTGTTATCATAGTTAATGCACTGACTGTGACATAACATGAATAAACAATTAACAGTTCAGTTGTATTATACAGTAACAAATGTGTTGCTCGTGGTTAGTTCACACACACACACCCAAGGCGATTCATACGTGAATGACGATTTGCACTGTAAGGGGTATACAGTCAAAGACCCAGAACCAGATATGAAGAATGAAGACCCGGAGTCAGAATTATAAAAAATTAAAGAAAAGTTTTACTGAAGATAGGTTGCATTTTCATCAGCAGAAGTCAGCTTCAAGACTCACACAGGAGTTCGTAGGCCGCCTCGCTTACAGTTACAAAGATCACAGCAGTTATACCATTTCCAAGGTCTAAGCTACGCCATTACTTCAGGTTGAATGATTCTCATTGGCTAAGAAACATGAGAGCCTAAGCAATTTAACACATGTGAGGAGATAGGGGTGCCTATCGCCATTAGTCAAAAGATAGTTGTCGTCCACTCATTAGATTTAGGTCTGTGGTGGCCTCGCAGGTTAGAGAAGGGCGCCGGGGTGTCTGGTCCGAACGTCCAGAACCTACATAGGATGTCATACGCACACACACACACACACACACAAATAACAGACACTAGCAAATAACAGCTCCCATCAAGGCTGAAGAGAGTCTGAGCTCCTTATTATCAGTTAAGTATACCAAAACATAATGCTAAAACATTCACTCGTTTGGGAGAAAAACAGATAACTGGCATTTACTCCCAAGGAAGGAAATATACTGGAAAGAATACATTTTAATACAACAATTAAAGGTCGATAGTAACGCTCAATATAGCTTGACCATATGTCCAAGGAAGAATCATATGTGTCCACGCTGCCTTTAGGACCCTCTACTGATCCCAGAGAAAGAGACAAACGGCCTTGTGGGTTACGTGGCCTTCGTGTCCTGCGTGCAATCTCAAAGTAAGATTGAAATGCACCTAAAAGAAACTGGTTACTAATACTTACACCACATGCATTTAAGAAAATATAATTTCACAAGCACAAAGAATATAAAAATGATTATGTGATAATGAATATATTTGATTATTGATTTTTATAAAGGAAGTATATAAGCATTCAAAAGGATATATGATTATAGATGTATTTGAAGAGGCAAGGGATTTTGACCAACCCTTCAGAGTGTACATGAGTACAGTCCAGCGTTCGAGAACTCGCATGTGCACTAATTCCAGTGTGAGGCTGGTTGGGTCTTGGGTGATCACAGTGAGGGTGTCGGGGGCTTCTGGGTAAGCTGCCCACGCATCCCATGCAGTTTTTTTGCCAATTCCATACATTGCTGATACAACGTCACATCCTTTGAACGCATGGAAGAGGGGCAGTGCTTGTGCAAGGGTGAGGGAGGCTGTACTAATAATGATGAAGAGTGATTTTTTTTTATAAATACATGATGTTTAAGTATGTATTGTATTTTTGTGTTATTTGACTGATCAAAATGTAATATTGATCCTTAACATGGTGAAAAGCCTAATATAACTTTTCACTGTGGCATAGTTCTGAATTTGTGTTCATTTAAAGCCTCAACAATGGTCCTTTTGGTCACAACATGTGATTTTTGACACTATAGTGATAGTGACCTGTCCAATCAACAAAGAAAAGCATACATTGGAGGTAAAAATATGGGTCTAGAGGCCGGAATAATATTTCAATGTGACTTTTTCCGAGATATTGACAGTTTATTTGCGCTAAATATGACTATGATAATAGATTTAACAAGGAAATGGACTTAAAATAAGAAGAATATATCAGAATTGGATTCCTTGTATCAAACAAAGTAGAAAAAAATACATTATACAACAATTTAAGACTAAAGGAAGCTGAGATATAACCTTTTCTCTTTTCGGCGGGGGCCAATTTGGATTTTATGGATAACTGCCACTAGGGGGACCACCCCAACTTGTATCCATGGATTTTTGAAAACCACATTTGATTTTTTTTGCAATGACAAGAAGGTTAGGTAACACTTTTATTTTAATAGTCCGCTTTAAACATTCTATATACTATAAATGTAAGTATCTTTGCAACTATGTCAACTAGCAGTCATTAGAGTAGACTGTCTGCTTCACAGATATACATAAATGCCCCATTAGCGGCCATTTCAGTGGGCCACTATACGTAAGCCGTCCGCCATACTGGAACGGTCAAAACCAGTCTGTGAATGTTCAACATTCGAGAGCAAGTTGACTGCAACCATAGTTAGACGCAGTTAGAGTAACTTTGCAAGTACATGTTAACATATTGTACTAACCCTAATAGTCTATGAGAGAGAGTTATTTGAAATGTAGTGCAAATTAATTAGAGATAGTAGAATGTCTAAAGTGGACTATCATAATAAACTTTAACCACAAGGTTAACAACAGGATTGAACCCAGCTCTAAAAAAGAAGTAAACTCGAGGGTGTCAGCTTGAAGTTCATTTCAATGTTGTTGTTGAATTTGTATATTTTTCTGATTATCTATTGAAATATTGATATTATCATGAGGATTTATGAAATTTAATACAAGAAACTCCAACTAATACCAACACTGCTTAATTCACAAGAGCATTAATAACAATGATGTTTTCCCACCAAAAGTGATGTCATGACCAGGATTTCACACAAAAAATGGTATAATATTCTAAACAAAAAGATCTATATGGGGACATGAAAATGCACTGCGAAGGATTGAGCCGATGTAGCATCATCTGTATGTTATTTCTTTTCAATTCCAGGGAGCAGATTCTTTCACAGCACCAGCAGGAGAGTGTGGATTTGGAGAAT